GCAATCTCATTGTCTCAAGAGGAATTCTTGCTCAGACTACTACAAATAAATTGTTATATTTCAAGAGAAAATCTTACAGTAATATATTATAGGGAACTTTATCGGGAAATTAAAAATAAGATGGCTATATAATAAAATACCGAGGTACGTGAGAACACAGTGTCCTTAAAACAGATTCGCCCCGTATGAGCATCTATTTCTCAGGATACAACGAAAAAAATCGAAACAAATCCGGCGAACTGGAATTATGTCTGGACCAAACCACTTAAAGAAAAAATGAGGGAACAAGACTTTGGAAAAATTATACTTATTTGGTTTCGTGTATCTTTTTCTTCAAAGCAAGACAAGACTTATATAGTTACGAGATAAAACACTTTAATAAATAGTTCATTAATAGTTCATTGATTGTTTATTAAATTAAACTTAATGAGGCTTCTTGTAACATGAACAAAGTTACAATTTTGAAGTAAAAGATACGGTTTCAAGCTTTAACCATTATTTTACTAATTCATTCAATTAATTTTCCAACATATATTTCAATGGATATTCCAACATTGCTTCTCTTGCAATCATTGGAATTTTCGTTGAAAATTACATTGGAATGAGTTTTCTGTTGGAATTTTAGATGAAATTTGATGATTCTAACGGTTTTTTACCGTCGGAATATGTAATTTTGTCGAAATTTTTATTTTCACCCATGCTGGAAAATCTACCCTTGTAATCAACAAAATTCAATGGAAGTTTCAATGCAAAGCTCATTCCAACAAAAATAATAGCGTTGGAATATCAATTGAAATTGTTGTTCGGATTCTAATGGAATATATTTGTGTTAAAATTTTTTATTGAAATTTCACCATTTTCTTGTAGTGGAATGTTCAGAATATTTTTTGAAATATTCTTTTGCTAGCTTGCCAAAAAGTTACATGTAAAATTTTAAATCTTAAACCTCTTATCCCGTCAAAATAAAGAAAATAATAATAAAAGTAAAAGCTCGTAAGATGCTAGCGATGGCAGTTTTAATGTGAAGTGTACAACGTGTGAACGTGTGCGTTTTTGTGTAGCAATGCAAAATAAAATGTTGAAGGAATTTAAATAAAATTGTCTTAAGAAAGTCTCCATCTTCCCATAGAACTCTTTCACTATAAAATGGTCGGGCGCATATAGCATAGTACAGTTGCGAGACTAGAAGTCTCTTTTAATCTTATTGTCCCCACACTCCACTTCCCAGCTATTTTTCTGGCCAACTCGTGGACTTCAAAACCTGTAACGGATCCTCCACAGGTATAGGAGCACTTCTCCCAAGTTTCATTAAAAAAATATAAAAATTAAAAAGAAAGACGTCAACCTTTTAGCCTATAGAACACGAACTGAAAACTCGACTAAAACTGTCAAATTAATTAAATGAAAACTGAGCGCTAAAAAACTCTCAGAAATATCATAATGCCACGATCTCTCTCTCTCTCTCTCTCTCTCTCTCTCTCTCTCTCTCTCTCTCTCTCACACGCACACACACACACAGTTGCTACCGTACAATGGCGAAGAATTCTAAATAAATATATATATGTGTGCATCCTTCTTTGGTGAAGTCTCTTCAGAATCTTCACTAATATTAAGTTTCCTTCATTGCAAAGTCTTCAATATCTTCAAAATCACTTTTTTAGTCCGAAGTCATGTAGGAACACGGCTTTCTTTAATTGTGAGATTCGACAGATCTTGTACCAGCTGTTCCATATCTCAGTGATTCTATTTTCATCCATGCTAATTTTGTGTCCATGTCACTAAGCTGCGTCCAGATCTTCTCTAGTGTGTTCCTACACTAATCAAGGAAACAAATTTAGAATATATCTAACTCAATATTCAACAATTAAATATAAGCCAACTTAATAAGTAAGTTAATCTCCACCGGTGAGGAAGACATATCAAGTTGAACCAAATCGGTCGAGGATCTTTTACGTACTATACTTGAAACCAAAATTTACAAACCTTAACAGCTTTCCATAGTCTTTTTTTTTCTCGAAACGATAAATATATTATAAACTGAAAACTCAAATAGAGTACATCCGAGGTGTCAAATGACACCACTAGAACCAGAAAGGGAGACAGAAAACCCCATAAAGAAGACTAAAATCTAGACACAATTGGACTGAAACACAAACCAGGAAGAAAAACAATCAGAAAAAAATTCCCATACCTAAGCTATACAATAGAATAAAGCTCTCCTTACTACCAACTAGAAACGAACTCGTACCCAGCGAAAGATAACCAAAGATAACCTGAATAAGGCAGGATTAAAACCCCAACACAAGTCTCCAACTCAAACTCTGATACTCAAACGACTATGACTAACTCGACCCGAATCAACAAAGCAAAACCCTCCTTTCAAGCGAGCCACTCCGAGAAAACTGCTCCAAGACCAGCCAATACAGCCTCCCCCAACACAATACCGACAACAACCACCAGAACACCCAAATACTAAAAAAAAAGAAGGCCTCGAAATATTTGAACTAATTGAATCGATCAAATTATACCACAATTGTAACCATGTAAATTAAACATTTTATTCGATTTGATTTTGGGTTCAATTTTTTTAAAAAAAAATCAAATTCGATTAATTCGATTTTATGAGTTCGGTCTATTCAATTTAACAAATCAATGGGTACACACCCCTAATATTAACGATAAAATTAATAAAAAGTGTAAAATTATAAACATCAATAATACTATAATAAAATTTAAAAATAACTTCAAACGATTCATGCAATCTATTTTTAAAATCCATGAACTTATTTCCTCCCCACTTTCTCGTTCCAAATTCATTACTCCTATCTTCTTGGAATATTGATTATATATATTTAACGAATATACTACGGTCTCGATACGGAATTATTCTTTTGGGTATGTAACTATAGATTATCATGCAACCATCGAAGATAATTAATCTAACGGTAACAAATTTCGACGGAATAATTTCGTAAACCAGACTGAGTATCCCCCTATATTTAATTCACTTTTTCCCCAAATAAATCTCCCCCATTCACATTTTTGACATGAGACGATCAAGAGTTTTCGCGTTGGTCTAACGCCACCAGGCGCGCCTAAACCCGACCGGCTCGACCTCGTTCATTGGGCTGTCACGCGACGAAATCTCACAGCCGGCCTGGTCATCGGGACACTTCAGCACAACATATCGGGCACGAAATGGCCTAAATTTCTGACACGTGTTTCGCCCCTCAAAAGGCGAAACGTGGGCCCACGACCGAACCCTTTAAAACCTCTCTCCTCATTCACCTAAAGCGCCAAAAAAAATACACACTCACACACACTCGGCACACCTTCTCTCCACACTTCCTCTGTTTCTCTCTCTACAAACTTCTCTTTCTAGAACGCTCTGTGCTCGCCTGTCGCATATGTCGTCATCGCTTTGAAGTTCGTTTTCTCTTCCGCCGATCAGGAATCAGTTTGAGTGCCATCTCAATTCGTCATCGCTGGTATGAAATTGTGGAAAAACCCTACTTAATTCTTCGCAGGCTGGACTCGTGGGTTTGATTTGTTGTGGTTTGAAGGGATTATGGTTTATCTGCTGATTGATTATGATGATGATGATGATGATGATGATGGTGTGGAATTATTGTGTTATCGGTAGACTAGGTTTTGGGTTATTATTGTGATCCCTTTTTTTTTTTTTTTTT